AATTATTTGTTACATTTAGTAGCTGAAGCAGAGAACTAAGTACAATTTCACAATGAAAAAAATTAATAGTACATAGTATGAGGGTTTAGAAGATAAACTTTTAGCGTTTTCTCAAACACACAACTAGTTGTGACCACTTAAAATCACGGCAGTTCAGAGAAGAGGAAAAAAATCTTAGACATGGAAAAAATCCAGCTTCTCTCTTGCCCCATCCCATTCCCACCCCTATCCCACACTGTATTAGCAGCTACTGAACTTCTCTGAGCTCAACTTCCGTATCTTTGCCGAAAGAACCTAACAGTCTCCTTAGGATATTCCAGTTCAAACAACCATTGTTTGGTTCATTCAAGGACCATATGGTGCATTCCAGGAATACAAATCTCCTCTACACTAGGAGCTGACCATCAGCTCTCTCTTTACCCACAGCATGGATCTGCTCTTGGGACTTACAGAGGGCACAGCCAAGAATGCTACAAAAATCTGATTCACCACTGGGAGTGTTGGGGTGCACACCTGAAATCACAGTACTTTAGGAGTTGAAGGACTCCAAGTTCAAGTCTGTTTAGGCAACTAAAAATAATATATATTAGCTCTGCGGTAGAGCATCAGGGCTCAATCCCCCCCAAATCTGATTCTACTTAGTCAAAGGGTAAGGCAGGTCCACTAGAGCCCCTTCCCCACGACCTAACTCCCCTTGGGTTCTGCCTCTCTTACAGTCTTCCCCTTACCCCAGGCCCACCACTATACTCAAGTGTTTTTTCATCCACAAGAAGAGTTCTGAATTCCTGCACTGAGTTTTTTGCCCTGAGTTACTTTCCTGGAGACATTAATTTTCCAAATCCCTCAAAATGTGACAACACTTAGGGGAGAGGCTCTGAACTAATCTATATACTTAACAAGGCCATTCTAGTACACCTCAAGTTCATTGTATGGGAGTTATCTTTATGGCCTGAATTCTCTTTTTTCTACCCCTGCTTTTTTTTTGTGTGTGTCTTTTCTTTTGTCTTTTTGAGACAGGGTCACGCTATGCAGCTCAGGCTGGCCTTGAGCTCACTTTGTAGCTCAGACTGGCCTCAAACTCAGTAATTCTCCTGCCTCAGCCTCTTGAGTGCTAGGATTACAGGCATGCACCACCTCGCCCAGCTACCACAGCTTTTTCACATGAACTCCTTCTGATCCTCCAAGACCCATCAGAGGAAGATATGGTAGTCTGCTCTAACCACCACAAGCAGAGATTTTTTTTGGCAATCAGAGATAACAATGTTTATGCCTGTCTTTAGCTCACTGTTGACTCCTAGAAAGGAAACCATCTCCTACAGTCTAATAGGAAACTACCTAGGTACTGAAACTCTAGGTATGAATATGACATTGCTGCTTGTGTTAAGATATGAATATAAAGAACTTACAAAGAGAAATTCTGCCTTGATCTGGGCCCTATCTGGAAAGCCGTCCTTACAGTTCTCATTACTTGGAGGCTGCCACTTAACAAAGGAGCATAAGTTCTGGCCAGAAGAGAGCAAAACTTTCAGAGATGAAACTCCTAAGCAAGAAATGCTAAAATGGTATTCACTCAGAAAAGACAGTCCAAAAAGAATCTGGGAAATAAGGAACCCAAAGTCAAAGTTGGGTGTGTCCTTTGAGGGTACAACCTAGCTATAAACAAAGCAGACAAAAATAAATAACAAAGCAGACACAGGAAAAGTCGGAGTTCTGAGAACCAGCTCGGTACTATGGCGGCACCAGGAATCTGGCTCTCCTTTTTTAAATGTATTTATTTGTTACAGGGTCTCACGATGCAGCTCGGTCTCCCCAGCGCTGGGATTACAGGCATGCGCCACTACACACGGACTGTGTGGCTGGCTCAGCGCACTCGGGGATCAAGGCTGGCACGGCACGTGGCGCAGGGATGGAACCACTGTCCCTGCACTTGCCTAAGCAAGCACTTTAGTCCGTTGAGCTATCTCGTCGGCCCCCAGAAATTTTCTCTTAATCAGGTTGCTTTTATATTTCTTATATGTTCTTATGGTACCTACTTTGATATGAAATAATGTTTCAGGTTGTCCAAATTGCTCTACAGCAAACTTGAAAGCAAGGGGTTTTAGCCACTCATAGGTTTGATAATCCAAGGAGTGTGATTCCACTGCCGGGCAGTAGGAGGGTGAAAGCAGTGACGCAAAAGCAAGTACATTCTAGAGGACAAGAAGGCTGTGGAATCCAGCTGTTCTTCCCCATCTGAAAATTTTCCTTCAAGGCTACAACGTAAGGATAGTGACTACTTTATTAAAGAATATTCTTCTAACAAATTTCCCCCAAAATTACAGGCATATTTGCTGTCACGTACACATGTGACTGGAATACAAAAGAAATTAAAATTTTTCTTTTAAATGAATGATGTATTGGCTTGCAGAGTTTTAAGGAACTTTAAAGTCACCTAACATAAAACTTTTCCCACAAATACACATTTGTTCACAGAAGGCTTTCAGAAGTCATCAGAATACTCATTCAACAAATATCAATTCAATGTCTGCAATAGTTAAGATAACAGAAAAACGAACAAAAGAACCAGATCAGTCACCGACCCAACAAATGATTACAGTGGGACTCTGTGCCAGCCTACTGTGGTAGGACCTACAGGCACTACAGAGAATAAGACACACAGAGTTCCCCCAGAGAACTCGCAGAAAATATAACAGACATCAAGTGTCTACAATATTGTTTAGAATAAAAAACGTTCAATATTTTTAAAGGTACATTTAAAAGTTATTAGGAATCAGAGGCCAAAAAGAGAAACTAGGGTTTTGTAAGAATGCATCGGACACTGGAATTCAGGTATAGGGCATTATTTGTGGCTTGACCTTAACAGTTCAGGAGCAAAGATGGATTAGTTACCAGTTGAAGCAGTTAATGGTAACACCTTTGCAGGTTTGATGAAAATCAATATTGTATCTTCATATCTTTAGCATTATATCAAGTAATATTAATACTGGATTTTGGAAAGCAAGAATACAAATCAATTTTTTCTTAATGTAAAAATCATAACCAAAACTAAGCTTTAAATTATAGTTGTCATGTTTAAGTATATGATCCACAGAAGTACAGACTTGTCAATCTGAGTAAAAATATATGCAAAGAATAATCTTAATTTCTGTCTGGGCTTTATATAGCAGTAACTATCATAAAATAACTTCTGTTTTACAATGTAAACTACGAAAAATGAAAATAGAGCTAAATACTGTTTCTTTCAGAGAAACTCAATGAGATTCAGCTTCAGTTTCTTTTCTATATCCAACTTTAGCTCCAAACATTTGGAAACAGAGCAGTCTTCTTCAAGATAAAAGCTGTGAAATGGGAAGCAAAAGTTTCAAAACTGCCAGGCATGGTGGCACATACCTGTGACCCCAGCACTTGGGAGGCTGATGCAGGAAGACTGCTGTGAGTTCAAGGCTAGCCTGAGCTACAAAGTGAGTTTAAGACCAGCCTGAACTGCAGAGAGAGAAAGAAAGAAAGATTCAAAACTACTATTGAAAGTTTCTCCTTTTGATTCACTAAATTTATTAATTTCCTGGTTTAGAATTGATCACTTTAATCTTTAGTAGCTAAACTACCAAAGTGACCAACGTGGCATCCATCAATATACTCCTTCAATGTATTTTATAGAATGTAAAATAATAAAAATACTTCCATAACAAGGAATGTCTAGGCCCTCTTAATAGGATTTTGCCTGTGTGGAAAAATTAAGAACTGTCATAAGACTTCTTTGTGAATTTCAAAAGGCTCCTGACCATACATTCCACTGCAGCCATATTTGTTCTGTTCATTGCAGATGTCCTGCCAGTAGTGTATGTTTGCAATGTTTTCTGTTGAATGTGCATGGGAAACTATCCAGAGCCATCTGTATCCAATACCATGCACACAGGAGTGGAATACACATGTGCAATATATTCATCCAAGATACACTGGAAGAACCTATCATACAAATTAAACTACCAAACCAAAATTTTGAGGTCACATTATAGACAAAATGCTGACCTGACCACAAAAACAGTAACACTTTGATTTTTTACCTCTACAATTATAAGAGTCACCGAAATTCTCTACCACTGCATGACTTACACTTAAATAGTACTTTTAAAACAACTGCCCACTCTTTAAGGTAAACGTCTTTTGTTATACTGTAATATATTTTCAAAAATGTTTATAAATATTATCAAAGGAACAACTCCAGACGCATTACACTCACTAAGCAGCATTCCTCTAGAAATTACCTTCATCAGCCTCATTTCTGCGCATTTAAGAGCACAAAGTTAAAATGAAAACGCAATGAATGCAAGGGAGACCATCCCAAAAAAAAAAAAAAAAAAAAAAAAAAAACCTAGCTTCACTTCTGCAAATTAAGCAAAATTAAGCAAAAAGAAAGGAAGCAGGCAAAGGGAAGGAACTCAAACAGCTATTTGCAGCAGTGGTACCTTCCAAGTTCTCAGTGGCCTGAGCTCGCAGACATGAGGAGAAAAAGAAGGCACCACACTGCAGCCCAAAGTTACCCACTCTTCACAACTTGGAATATTCTCCAAATTCAGAGTAAGATGCCCGAGCTATATGGATTAAGTGGGACTGTCTGGGAGAAGACAAAGGCATTTGCTTTCTCAGTGTGGGGCCCTAAAAACTGTACCAGTGAGAACCCCGAGGTCCTTAGTTATCTTGCAGAGGCGGCTAGGCGCATCTTCCCTACACACACACCTGCAAGGCCGAGCGGCTCCTCCGGCTCGGAAGGACACCGCAGCTCGCCGGAGCCAAACGGCCGCAGACGGGCTGGAGCACCCGCGACCATTCGGGCTCCGCTTCCCGGCCCTGAGGCGGCGGCTGCGCTCCGCCGGACACGCGCCCTTCGGATGGGTTGTAATAAACTTGCGGAGCGCGTCTACACCGCGCGGACTGGAGCCGCGCTCGGGGACCGCCGGCCCGGCCCGCCTTCCTCGCGGCCGAGAGGCAGCAGTCCGTACCTGTCCTCTGACACGCTGATGACGCCCTCCTCTTTGGGCACGATCACGGCCATGTTCACCACCTCCTGGGACCCCTCGACCCGCTGCAGCAGGATGGGTTTGCGGGTCAGCGGCTTGGGCTGGATCTCCGCCGCCATCAGAGGAGGGGGCGCGCCGGGGGCACCGCGGCCAAGAGAGCCGCGGGGCCGGGCAGAGGAAACTGCTGGAGCACAAGCAGAGACAGGATCGCTGGCCGTCCGGAGCGCGATCATAGCCTAGGTACCTCTCCGGGGAACGACTCCTCGCTCCCGGCTCGGAGTACCAAATTCACCTCCACCCGAGCTGCAAAGAAGCACCGCAGGCATAGGAGGGGGCGGAGGCCGGGGGCGGGGCCGAGGGCGGGGGCCGGGGGCGGGGCCTGCCGCAGGGCTGGCCGCTGGTGGGCGCGAGGGCGGCTCCACTTCCGGGAGGGTGATGAGGAAGAGGGAAACCTGAAGCAGGCGGCGGCGCGCTGGCGGCCAATACGCGTGCGTGAGCCCAACACCCTCTATCCGCTCCGCCCCTCCGCGCCCTCCGGAGCCCGGCGGCACAGCGAGCAGTGCGCATGCTCCTTCCTATTTTCCACACCCAACATTTAGTCCCTTCCCTCTTAAGTTGCTCAGGAACGCTCGTGTAAGCTTCTCCGGGAACGCGCTTGAGAGGCTCCGCCCTCGCCAAATTCTCTGAAAAGGGCGGAGATGGAGCGGGTAAAGCACGCCGGAAAAACGAGCGGCTTGCGACAAGGAAAGGAGCTGAGCTAGTTGGGACATGACCGAGCATGCGCACGCTCTTAACAATGAAGCGTCACAGGGAGGCCGCTTGGTGTTTCCAGCAGGTCCAGGGTCCTGGCCATAGAGTATGCTGGGAGTTGTAGTTTGTTGGCACCGCCTCTTCCTTGACCTGAAATAACCTGTCACTCCTCTGTGCTCCAGACCTGGGGAGCATTGAGGCTTACTGCCGTTGGCCTCCAACACTAGGGACTGAAGGGCAGGCTTGCCTAAGCCAGGGCATCATCGCTATCCTCTGTGTCAGGCTTGTTGTAGTGTGGCGCAGAGAATCTCTTGCAAACATCTGTGAGGGAGCTTAGAGATCACCTGTAGTGTCAGTCTCCTTTTTATTACATGACTAAATGGCTAATCCAGGGCCCAAATCAGCATTAGAATCCCCATCCCAATACTTGAACCCACGTCTTGCCTGCTCCTAGTTTGTCCTCTGGCTTTCTCCTGGGACAAAGGATGTTTAATGTGTCTCCATTATGCACAGTACATATGTATAGTATAAGAATGGCTACAGTACATTTTTAAGAGATGGATCATGTTGGCAAGGATGTAGAGAAAATGGAGTTCATTTCTATATTGCAGTTGGGGACATAAAATGGGGCAGCCTCTTTGGAAAACAATCTGGCATTTTTCAACAGGTAAAACAATGTTACCATATAACCTAGCAATTCTTATTTTCCTGTATTTTTGGACAGGGTCTACAGTGTGTTCAGGCTCTCATTAGTAAGTTGGTCTCATAGTGGGTTCTCCTGTTTTCAGCCTCCCAAGTGTTGGGATTACAGGGGTGTGCCACCACACCCAGTCTCAATCGCCATCTCAGCATGCCCGGCAGACGGGGCTGGCACAGCACAGGGGACTGAACCCCAACCGCTGCGCTCTCCATTTTTAGATATATATCCAAGAAAAATTAAAACTTAGATTCATACAAAAACCTGTGCATGAATGTGCACAGAAGCATTATTAATATTACCCAAATGTTCATCAATTGACAAGATATATATCCATACTGCAGGATATTATTTGCAATAAAAATAAATGAAATAGTAATACATGCCAGACATGGATGAAATTTGTTAATGAAATAAGCCAGTCTTAAAAGACCACAAATTATAAGATTCCATTTATATGAAATATCCAAAATCTATAGAAATAGAAATTAGATTGGTGAGGATTGAGCATCGTGGCTGTGGGCTACCGGGTTCTTTACTTTTCTTTCAGGGATGATAAAAATGTTCTAAACTTGTCTGTTGTGGTGGTTGCAAAACTCTGAATACAATAAAATCCATTCATTGAAAAATTTTAAATGATGAAAGCTAAGCTATGTGAAGTATAGTATCAATTATCCAAAAATATTTTTGATTAGCTGAAAAATTTTATTAGTTCTCTATCAATTTTATTGAAAGTAAACTATTGGAAATGGCTTGATTTTTTTGCAGAGTCACTGACATAAGTTATTTTCTCAATTTCAGACAAGTATGCAAAATCATATCACTATTATTTTTACTGTTACTGTTTCACTTAAAGGCACTTTGCTTAAACTTATATGCAAAAATAGGGAAAATTCATAAATTCAAACAAATGGATAAATTTGCCAAAGCAGTTTTTTATAAATTATTTTATCACATCATTCATATATATATGTATATATATATCCAAATATTAGAGCTGTACATCTTTTTAGAACCTAATTATCAAAATCCTGTTATCAGAACAATCAAGAAAATCACACTTTTTGTCCGAACAGTTATGACCTATTTTTTCCATTCAAATAAATTTAAATGTACATTTCTAGAAATTTTGTAAAAATGTAGTGGAATGCATCTTTTAAGACAATTATTAAATGCCAAGATTTCAATGATGTACATCTGATACAATTAATCAGTTTGATAATGTCTAAAAAGGATAGCTCAGCAGACTAAACACCTGCTTAGGCAAGCACAGAAGCTGGGGTTTGATGCCAGCACCACATGCGGCTCCAGCCCTGCCCCAGGACGCCCTGAGCTGGCCTGTAATCCCAGCGCTGGGGAGGCTGAGGCAGGAGGATCACTAGGAGTCTGAGCTGCTTAGTGAGACCCTGTAGCAAATGAATACATAAATAATAATAATAACAATAGTAATGTCGTAAGATAAATAGCAATCTAATAAGCTTTTTCTATTATATAATGTAATGTGTAGCTTGAGTAGTAAGTTTGTGTGACATAAGAAAATAAGAAGTATGATACTCTTTCAATAATTATGTGAACTTTTGAGGAAAGCAATTAAATTTAAAATCATAAATGATTCTATTAGTTTGGTAAAAAAAACAATAAAAATAAACATAAAAAATCACTGTAAAAATTTTATACATATTTAATTCATAAATTCATAATGAAAGAGAAAGACGCATACTGTTTAAATCTGACTAGCCTGCTGACCTGGGTGTCAGTGGTTAAGTAAGACACGCCTAGTGTGTAAGGCCCTTGGTTCAATCCCCAGCACCACACACGAATATTTATTGGTCTGAGACTAGTATAATTACATAATTTTATTAAGTGGAATCATTTTATAAAATAAGATGATTATTATCAAATAAATCTCATATGATTTGATATTTGATAAATAACTTTTAAACCACCTTGTTGCATAATAGTAACAATCTGAAAAAAAATTCAAGTTTAACAACGAGGGTTTTCCCAATGTATTTTGAAAACTTGGTAGTACTGGAAATTTCTATCATAGAAAAGAATAAAAATAACTAATTTTGTCTAATGGGTTTTCTCTAAGTCTTTTCTTTCTAGTTAGTGCCTTGTGTATGAGATGACCTTTGAAAATACCTGGAAAGAAGTTATTCAGGTTAAAATACATGAGAAAAGGTATTCAAACTGTGCTATTTTTTGTGTGTTTGTTTGGTTTATGTTTTGGGTTTTGAGGTTTGGTTTGGTTTGTTTCTTAGCAGCACTGTAACTAAGGATTAAACCCAAAGCCTTCACACTGAGCTACGTTCCCAGCACCCAACCCCCTTTAAACTTGAGACAAAGTCTCACTAAGTGACAACATTGCTCAGACTGGGCTCAAATTTATAACTTTCTGGATCAGCCTCCTCAAAGTGTGGCATTTACAGGCATGTGCCACCACACTTGGCACTTCATTGTGAGTCAGTTATTGCACCCTCACAGTACTGCCATTACTCTCACTTATATTTTATATTTTACTTTATATCTTACTTATATTTTAATTCAGGACCTCCTAAGGTGGGCCAATATACCTTTATTCCTTCTCCCTTAACAGAAATGTAAGACAAAAAATACCAGAAACCTATAGGTTAACTTACCTTATTAATCATCAAAGTTTTCCTCAAATTTTCTTCTTGTTGTTGCTCTGAAGGCTTTTTCCTCTTACCCAGGACAAAGTCTCACAGTAAATTTTAGGGTGAGTATAGCTCTGAAGTGGGAGAATGTCTTATAAAAACACTGGCAGATCCTGACACAAATTAGGTTGAGCAAAAAAGTAGCCCTAAAAATTGAGGATAGGAAAATGGATAAAATAACAGTTTTCTGTGTACCACTTAATAAGTGCTCACAAACCAGTTACAAAGGCTGCAGCTTGCAGACTTCTTTTGCAGAAACAAAATGGGGGCTACTCTCTCACAGGAGATGGAACTTTTAGGTAGAAGAATTAAGGAGATTATTCTTAATAATTGGACTAAAGTGACTTGTTAAATCAACTAACTCCCCATCCTCTGAAGGCTAATTAGAGAAGAGTATGAGACTGGGAAAAGCAGGCTCATGACAGACTCCAAAGCCCTTTTGGGGCAGTAAACATCATGCATTTTTCTGATATCCTCAGCAACATAGACTGGTATCAGAAGCCTTGGTGGGGATTGAGGCATCCTGGCCTCATGAGCTGAAACCCACACACACTGAGGGGTATCTCAGAACCAACAGTTATGTGATAAGCAGACAGGAGGTCAGGAGCAACAGGACTGACTGGCAGCTAGGCATAAACCTACAGGCCTTGGTTCAAGAGCAAGTCTGAGATTTGTGGTGACAGCTCAGGAAAGCAAGGCAGGCCCTGCAGGTGCAGGAGCTGGTGTTCTGAGCAGGAGGCCTAGGAGAGATCTTGGTTGTCAGGACTAGTGAGAAGACAGGAGAAGAGCACTTAATGGGATGTCCTGAAACAAATCATTTAATCTTTTGGAAGCCCCTTTCCTCATTCATACCATGTAGATAATTACAGCACCAATCTTACAAAGTCATTGTAATACATAGATAAGTTCATTTATGTGGAGTAAACTGAG